CCCCCCCCCCCCCCCCCCCCACTCTTCTAATTAGAGGATAAGGAGTGAATGTAAAAGATGCACAATAAACAAGGCAGTCACAAATGAGAACATGGGAAACAAGGAATACTTGAAAACTTTGAGAGTTGCTAATATGGAAAGGAGGTTAGCATAGTATTAGTTTAAGGAGACAGAGGAAAGGAGTTACTAATAACAACTTTAAAGAGAATTTGGGGCAACCTTAACAGTGTAGAAAGGAATTAACATAGGCAGACAAGGCATATGGCCGAGTTGGAGGACAAAGAGTGAGGCGGTACAAAGATAGAGAGATGCATATGAAAAATTAAAGTAGGAGATAAATAGAGACACAGTTTTAATTTGTTGGTAACGTGGGAGATGAACTGTATGTTAATATGTATTAATTAACAATTCTCTTCATACTTAAAATGTTCCTTTTCTAATTGAAGAAGATGCACTTGCGCTGTATGTAGAATTTGGCTTTTCTCTGGGATATGTTTATGGAATTTACTTTTAAAACATAGTCTAAACATTTTAATAGTATCAACTGTCCTGTGATTGAGGAGTAAATAGGAATAGTGCTTGTAGAACAGGAACTTAATCAGAAGTAGTGGCATGCAAATTGCATCAGTTGCTTTTAAGGATGTGACGAATTGGCAAAATAGAATTTCAAGAAGGAGTTAGATGCAGTTGTTGCAGCTAACAGAATCAAAGGGAATGGGGTGAAAGCGGGAACAGGATACTGCGTAGGACCATCAGCCATGCCTATTGAATGGTGGAGCCTAAAGGACCTAATGGCCTACTCGTGTTCATATTTTTTGTTTCTAATCACCATTTTTAAAATTTTTAATTAAACTAAAAGCCAATGAAATTTTAGATGGCACATAGAAATGTGTAACAAAGGTCGTACTGGGAGGAGTTGCTCAGCTTAGCTTTATGAAATATTATTATTTGAACTGTTTGTTTTAATTTACTTATAGCAAATTATCTGAATGTCCGTGTGACAGTAAGCTTATCTGATATGCAGTTTATATTGAAATAGGACGAGACAGGATTGGAAACAGAGCAGATGATTCCAGCCGAACCTATCTAAGATGAAATTGCCATCTGTTTTACATCCTGTCTGATCTTAATAGGATGTGAGATCAATGGAGAATTCAAAAGAAATGACAAATTAACTGCAGCACTCACAAACGTGACTGTTCAATGTCAAGTGAAAAATTGAATACGATTTGGAGAGAGACTTAAAATTTGGTGTCATTAGGCAACTGGTCTCTTCCATAGCTGTCTGTTTCAAACAAAAAGTTTCACTTCATTGCGAGTTGTTTTCATTATGGCAGCATCCTTTCAATCCAACTTGTTTATTCTTTACACTCCAAGTAGAATTTATTCTGAGAAATGATGCGCTACTTCCATGGAGTAGTGCATGACCAAACCACCATAATGATCCTCTATTTCATTACCAAGCTTATAATCAGCTTTTCTGTGTTGTGCAATGTAGCACCAACAACTTGCACTTAACATGACAAAACATTCCTAGACTCTTAGCGACCCTGTTCGAGGAAAAAAATTGACTTTCAGTTATGTGACATATTAGAACAAATGATCAAAAGCTTGTTCGAAGAAGTAGGTTTTAAGGATCATTTCTAAGCAGCAAGGCAAAGAATAAGTGCGAACTTTAGATTTCAATGCTTGCTGAATGCACAGCTGGCAGTGATGGAGTGGAAGGAATCCAGCATATCCAAGTGGCCAAAATTGGAGGCGGTTCTTAGAGTTGGGGCTGGAAAAAAATACAGACAGTGAAAGATGAGTGCGTGGAAGGATTGTGAATGTAAGGGTAGAAATTTCAAGTTTGAGTTGATGTTATACAGGTAGCCTATTTATGTTGGAGAGTTTAGGGGAGAAGATGGTAATGTGACTGAATCAATAATCCAGAAGTCCATGCTAATAGCAATGCAAAGAAATGTCCAGATGTTTCTAGGACAACAGGTAGAATTTAAGTTCAATTAGTTTGTTGAAAAAAGAAATCTGGAATTGTAATCTTGTCTGAGTAATGGTGATCATGAAACCATTGTTGATTTGTCTTAAAAGCCCATCTGGTTCCCTCGTGCTTCAGGGAAGAAGATCTGCTGTCCTTCACGTGTACAAGTCTATCTATGATTTCAAACCCATGCAATATCATTGGTTCTTAACTGCTCTCTGAAATAGCCAAGTAAGGTACTGCATTCGAGAGCAATTGGTAATGAGCAACAAATATTGACCTTATCAATGATGCCAATATGCCATGAAAGAATGAAACAAAGTACAAAACTGTGATGGTACTGGTACTTTCCCTACCTAGGGCCAGGATATCCAGGTTCAAGTCCCACCCAATCCAGACGTTTGTAATAGTGTCTCTGAACAGGTTAATTAGAAAATATTTAAATAGTACGAGTGACAGGAGAATGGAACTTGGTGTGAGTTAGATAAGTGAAGTCTTTTTATGAGCTCAGTTTGTGGGGTTGGAAGATGAGGTGAACCTAGGAGAGTGCTGGAATTGTTGAACAACAGTATGGCTGAGGGCTTTGTAGGATTGAGTTGTTTGTCAAAATAATTTTAATTAAGTGATGAAGAAATATTTTGTTTCAATGTAGTTAGTTAAACATTTTCTATTGGAAAGAAAGCTGTCTGGCCTAGGTCATAGATTTATGGTTTCATTGTTTTATGAGTCAAATTGATGTAAACCCAGGCTCAGTGGTGAGAATGCTTTGAGATAAAGAGCTTTTAATCAGGGCACAGTTGTAAAATTTCATTTTATAACAAAGTGTGAGACAGGCCAATGGGTATACTTAGGTATATGTTGTATGTTATCATGAATTAAGCTTCTGTAGTTTTGTAATTATTTGTTTCAAAACAGTGTTATCAAGGAACATTTGAGATGATTGTGTCATCTCCTAGTGATCGACTACATGATCTAAGCAGATGCACAAATTATTCTTGGTGGCACCTTATCCTAATAGAAATTTATGAAATTTGTAAGCTGAGAGAGACAGAATGTTACAAATGGGATGATTTTACAAAACGATGAATTTTGGTGATGATTCCTGCTGAAAGTCATGCACTTTGGGAAGCCATTTGGTTAATTAGGTTTGATATTACCCACACGTCCCTTTCCAA